AGCCAATACGCGAATATAAGGCCAGCATCCGATGAGTGGAGAACACCAAAATTAACGCTAGGAGAAATTTATCAAGTGGGGCGAAACGCTATCCAGTGCTAAAAATAAGGCACCGGAAGATAGCTAGCTAGGGGAAAGGTGTGGTCGCGTGCGCGGAGAGCAAAGATGACCGCGGAGCCGATGAGCGTCGCGCCGTTCGAAGGCGGATGCTACGTTTACTCAAACAAACGCGAGAAAAGTTCAAACAGACGAGCGGCTAATTTGCTATGTACATCGAGAAAATATAATTTTGTGATTTTGTAATATTTTACGCAGCATGCGGCAGCCAAACAGGGTAATCTCCAAATCGCTAAACGAGCCTGCCAGACTTGCATGCCTTATATTCATATAACCTCTTCCATCCCTAACCTGTCCATCTCTGCCGACTCTTTATTTATCTTCCCAACTCAACTGTACGACTTACTCTAAATGTGCCGATTAATCCAGTCTCGTCCGACCGGTCCCCTGTGCTCCAAATTCTCTCAGACTGTTGTGACGTTACCGGCATTTATTCGGAAGACCAAACGCTCTGTCCCCAATACCTCATGAGCCTCATGGACATTTTCACACCTTATACGTAAACCTCTTTCTATCCGGACCGTCTCTTCTCCTTATGGCGCTCTCTACTTTCATTTCTTCCCTTATCGGAATGACAAATCTCAGTGCCTGTGATAACCTAGTCTCATCTGACCGGTCTGCCTCTTTGACCTTTTCCAGACCAGCAACATTTAAACGGTCTAGACTCTGTAGACTCAAAGCTATGTTGCACTTACGTTGACAGCCTGCTAGACTGGTTCACCCACTATTTATATAGGCACCTCTACCTCTTGACCCACTTCATTTGTCCTCCAAAATTTGCTGTTGGTCTCAATAGCGTTTCGACAACTAATCCTGTCTCGTCTGATTGGTCTTCGGTTTCTAACTTCTCTCAGACTCCTGTGACATTTTCCATCCTGACTATCGTCACCTAATTACTCTCACGAGTTACGCTTCGCACTGCCGTCCGCATTCATCCGCTCATAGCTGATTCTGTAAATTTCCTTTTCTTCTTGGAGCGTTGCCTTACCTATGTTGCTCCCGCATTCGGTCTCGACCTAGTTGTCTTTAGTTTCACCTAAGATGCCGCTCGCATTCGGCTGTTGTCATCATCATCATTTTACCTGTTTCCATCCAACATTCGTATTATTCGCTTAATTTTGTCAACACGCTTTGTTATATCCGTCTCGACCCTGCGCGTGCAGATCCTTCTTCCTACCTAGTAGTTGTAGTCTGAGTCACACCAGCGACGTGATGAAAAACGCGCTTGCGAATCATGTATACTAAACAAAAGTACATAAGTTTTGACGTATCGTAGGCACCGTTTCGCGCCACCAGTCTGTGTTTGTGCTTCTTGATTCATAGCTGTTTGGCTGCCTCTTGTCCGCTGCCCGTTTCCTCACGAGATTTTTACAGTTACATCCGCCAAAACAAGAAGGGTTATCCGCTGGGACTGATCGACCCACTCTCAATAGCCAGTTGGTTTAAACGCCTGATCTTTTCTCCGGGAGATGAAGAACCCACACATCGTTCCAAATGGAGCTCTTTCCGCCATTCTGGAGAAGCTACCACCACGGGTCTAAACAAATGAGTTTAGCTCGCCTCGTACTCACAGTAGAACTATTTACTCACCAGGAATAATATATTTACATAGATCCACTGTTCCACAACCAAAGACAGACAATTCTGGGGTGCGTACCTTCACTGCCTCAAACATTCCGATTCTCCAGTCACCTGGAGCGTTTCTGATGTCATCTCACGGACAGCATTGCGCGCGTATAAGCGGCTTTTCCGATGGTCTTTCACGGAGTTTTCACCTGGCCATTGAGACAATTACACTTACATTTGAAGGAATTACTAGTCCACTTTGCGGAGAATAGCATTTTTTCATGTTAGGGACATATTCAGACACAAGAAACAACTGCACTCACCCTCCCTATGACAACGCCAGCATGGATAGCTGGACCCGGGTTGCGAGCCGCACAACATTGTATAGAAAAAGCCGGCCTCTATTAACAATGTGGTTACTCACCTGCATCTTTATCATTCGACTCTGTGACGCTTTTACATCATTGACCGGCTTCAACGACTACTGCCGGATCCATACTAAGCCATGCGGCCAACGAAGGAAGAATTATGGCCTACAACCGACTGCGAATAATAGGGTGCAAAATCGGTCCATACGATGCATAGCCGAATAGCACTACTGTTCAACGGAAGCTACGGCAGTGTTCCAAGATGTGGTTGGTTTTCGCCTGGCAAGCGTTTTCCCCCCATAAAAAGCCACAAATGTCTGCTTTACAACACTGCAACGTGGCGGATGTGACTCGCCACAAAATAAAGTCACAGCTATACATTTCACAGTGACGCAGTCCTCAGCATTCTACATCCAACCTGTGCAAATGATTTTACTATGAAGAATGCTTTAAGGGAGTACAGACCATCTCGGCTTCGTAATGGTCATTGATTGCACCAACACCTTGTTTGGGCTCCTGTGCTCACGGATCAATACATGGCAAATTTACCCCCACTTGTAGCTTGACGCAACAGCTTTTTGCGGGCCACAGCGCCATCATGGTCCTTGATCTGACTATTACCTGACAGTATGCTCGCTCACATGGACTACATCTTTCCGTTTATTCCTTTCATTAAAACGAAATATTTTAATATTCCAAATAAGCTATGCTTGCATGCATATTTGATCATGCTTTTAGAGGTGTGTCTCGTTTTACAGAGAATATACCAGTTATTTATTTATTTATAGGGAGCTAGCATGCTTATCACTACCTAGTACTCGCCTACGCACATTATCGCTGTGGACAAGCTGATGCCATACGACACCAGCAATGCTTCGCAGACAAGCTGATCAAAGACTTGAAGGCGCCTCAGATCTTCACACCAAAGGGGCCAAGTCTCACTACCATAGAGCAGAACGGCCCTCACTGTCGCCTCGTATACACAGCCTTTCAGACGGAGGACAATTCCGTTCGGTCGCCAAAAATGCCTCAGGTGCACAAACGCAGCTCTGGCCTTTGTAATGCGTGAGTTGACGTCAGTTTCTATGCGCCCACCATTGCTTATGCAGCTGCCAAGATAAGTGAATTGATCAACCACTTCGAGTTCCTCGTTATTAAGGCTCCAGGGGCCATAAAGTGGCTGGTATTCCTGCAGCAACATTATGCACTTTGAAGGTGCGAAGTGCATGCCAAATAATGGGGCCACTCTAGACAGGCTATTCAGGTACTGATTGCGCCGTCGCAACATCGTGGAAAAGCAAGACGGTATCGTCCGCATTATCTAGGTCAACTGACCTATCACCGTGAAACTTTAATGTTTACATCGTAGATTCTGCAAGAGAACCTTCCATGATAGAATCCACGACGAAATTGAAGAAAAGTGGGGAAATCGAACAACTCTGACGAACGGTACTTTTGGTCAGAAAGCTATCCGCTTTGACACCATAGACCCTGACGCGGCCTGTAGTGTTCGAGTATAGAGCACGAAAGATGTTCATATTTCGAGGGAACATCGTTCCGCGCAAGTATTTCGAACAGAATCGATCGATTGACTGAATCGAACGCACTCTTGAAATCGAGGAACACAGCTATTGTCGGTCTGCGGCATGCGTGGCGCTACTCTAGCACCTACCGCACAGTGAATATCTGGTCTATACAGGCATGTACTAAGCGGAAAGCGGCCTGCTCTTCCCTAATCCGAGAATCCCCGTTCCGCAGTAACGCGACGAACGAAAATCGAGGCCAATAATTTTGTCACAACTGTCGTTGGGATAATACCCCTTTGGTTAGCAAGTCTGTGCGACTGCCCTTCATGTATATTGCCACTATAAGCAATTCGCTCCATGTAGCCGGGACACTTCCTTCCAGATACGTTCGAATAGGGAGGTCAGTGCTTTGCAGAGGACCTCTCCTCCATCCTTAAATAGTGCAGGTGGGAGGGAATCCGGGCCAGCGGCACGAAAACGATTGAGGGCTGTGAGCGCGTTTCGGACCTCGGCCTCCGACTGAGGCTCTACACTAACAGTCCGTGGCTCGCCCGCATCATCTGAGTAGGAAGATGTCCGGGAGCAGGGTTCAGCAGAACTGATCTTGAAAGTGCTCCGCCCAACGAGCCATACGGCGATCCTTATTGTGTATCACTGCAACCAATCTGTCTCTGCTTATCTCACTGACGCCTGGTTTTCTGGGACCAGTGGTGCGGATTAGCTGGAAGAGCTTGAGGTTATGGCCTACTGCTCCTGCCACCTCCCTTTCTTGAGCTCGACTGGCCTACCAGGCTTCCTTGTCAGCACGTACGCTCTGCCTTAGTACGCGCATAATAGCCCGTCTGGTCACATTGTGTTCAGAGCCAGCTAAGAGGTATCTTCTAGATTCCAACAGGTTCACCGACCTTTCGGATATCCGATGACTAGTGTGGTGACGATGGACAGTGCACATGCAGATGCTCCTGCGTCATGCATGGCGGCCGAGATCCTATTCCATTGAAGCTCAGTGTCATCAGGACAAGACAGCCAAAGTTCGTTACGCAGCGCGTCTTGATAGGCTTGCCTGACCGAGGGCTGAGACAATTTCTCAGTTACCAATTACAGGAGACACTTGGTTCGCCTCCCGGTAA